GGTCCAGAATTTGCGTCTGCTTCTGTATTGGGAGATGTTCTTGCCCTGTTACTTAGTAGTAAGTTCTTTTGAGCTGGGTATGAGTTAGTGGCCAGCGTGGTCAAGTGACTAAAATAAAAATGGTAAGAATGAATTAATCTCTCTCCTCACTTTCACCTTTCTACCCTTACAGTGGCATGAAGAGAAGCAGTACTGGTGAAAATTGTGGTTTTCTGATGTTTATCTCCCCCCCCCCATAGGGCGCCCTATACATTTAACTGCTGCATAATAGTGCATATTGATTTTAGACATATTTATTCAGAAATTAGTCTGATTAATATCATGTGGTTGCTTTCGTGAAAATAAAAAGTTGTCAGTCCAGTTCCTTATTTGTCTATTGTGCAGTCTTCTTAGAACCCCATGAGATCTGTTTTGATGGCTAATTCCAGCTATTGCAGGACTTAAAGGTTCTTTTTACTGCATTTAAGAAAGCAATTATTTAAAAGAAAACATGTCCCTGTTCTTTAAAAAAAATAACACATTTTTCACATCGGAAGCTTCCATTCCATTTGGGCCCTTCCTGTATTTAGGTACCCAAAATGGTGCCAGTCTGGCACCGAGGAACGTAGTTAACTGCCCTGTGGGAAATCTGATGACTGGGACCATGAACAGAAGCACTGCCGGGTTCACACATCACATTTAGCCATGATTTGTGAGTTAGGGTTTGTAACAAAACCATAATTGACTTGGTGCGCAGAACATATGAAGCTCCAAGCCAAGGAAACAACATTGAGGTTTTTCACTGTTTCGACTGAGCTTGTCAATATATAAAATTGAAACAGATTTTTAAAAATGTTAAACTCTAATAAAATGGCTGGAAAAGTTGGTAGAAGGTCCCTTAAAGACATCTTTGTACATTATATTTTTAAAATCTTTATAAACCTTGTTTCCACTCAAGAGGGTGATGATGTACAGTATCTGTTTTCCTTGTCCTCTGTATGCAGAAAAGTGTCATCCTTGCCCAAATAGCTTCAAAACAAAAGAGAAATCCATTTTCAGAGGAGAGGTGACAGGCCTTCTGTTGTAACAGGTCAATCTGTTTCACTGAGGAAAAGGCTATTTTAGTTTTTTTGTTTTTTGTTTTTAATATAAATTTTATTACAAGTTAAGACAACATAAAAACTAACACAAACTAATACAGAATAAACAAAATAAAGAAGCAAAGGAGGAAGAAAAGGACAAAGACAAAAGTGCAGAAAGAAAAGATAAAAAGAAATAGAAGAAGCTTCCAATTTCCTTTGCAGCAAATAAAAGTAAATCACAGTTATCTTTTACTCTGTGATTACAAAAAAGCTCACCTTTTTCTTTTATCTATTTTTCTAACCATCAAAACCAAAAGACATAAGTGCATTTTTTGTTGTTTATGCAAAAAGTCTATAAGGGGTTTCCAGTCAGCCATAACTGTAGATATTGTTTTTTCTCTAATCAAGGAAATCAGTTTAGCTATCTTTGCAAGTTCCATCATCAACCATTCCTCTATTGTGGGTAGTGCTGAACTTTTCCACTTTTGAGCATATAGCAATCTCACTACAGTCCATCATATATAAAAACAAAGTTCCATGCCTTTTTGCTAGTTTTCTGTCCATTAATCCCAAAAGAAAAGCCTCTGGTTTCAGTTGTACATTAGTCTTTAAAATCTTCTTAGTGTATTTATTTATATCCAGATTTTTTTTGGCTTTTTTACACGTCCACTATATATGATAAAGTGTCCCTTCATGTTGTTCACATTTCCACCTTTATACATTCTAGACAATTTCTGTGGTAACAAATACCAACAATACATCATTTTATAAAAATTCTCTTTAAGGCCAGAACATAATGAAAATTTCAATCCTTTCAACCACATATTTTCCTAGTGATCCATCTGTATATTGTAGCCAAAATTTTTAGCCCTTTTTGTCATACATTCTTTCACTTTTTTTTATTCTGTCTTGTATTTCAACAAAAGTTTATGCATTTTAGCAATAACATGTTCATCATTTGTACATAATTCTAGTTCAAACTAAGTTTTGTATCCACTTTAAACCATTCTGATGATTGTACATAAGAAAACCATTGACAAGTATATCCTTCTGTTGTCAAATCTTCTCTTGATTTTATTTTACAATCCCCTTGAGAAAATTCTAGTACATCACAATAAGGTAACCATTTATGCTTATTTATCATTTCTCATCTATAAAATGCTTCTTGTGCTGAGAGCCACAAAGATGTTTTAAGCTTTTTGTTTTTCTTCATGAGTGGTTTGAGGAGCAAAGGGTCATCTTAGCCTTTGCTTTTTTACTGTTGCCCATTTCAATGGGTGGGAGTAAGTAAAATGATGGATTAACAATCCAAGATAGCCATAATCTAGCCAAGACAGCATAAGCAATAAAGAGCTTGAATATGGCACTCTGGGTCTCCATCCTTTGTACATTTATTTTTCATTGATGATCAGTGTCCCTCCTTGAGATAACTGCAAATTCCTTGCCTGGGGGCACACATTTATTTAACATAAGGGAGTTGACTACACTTATATAGTTTCTTACTCATAAACATCAACAACCCTAGAGCATAGATTTATTATGATGATAATTAATTAAACTTGTATGCCACCCAACTCTCAACTCTGGGTGGCTTACAACAATCAAATAAAGAAATTACACTAGAGAGATAACTTTATTTCAGTCAACGACCAGCTTGAAATGACATATAAGAAGAACCAGCCACACCGAAGCAACATGTTCAAGTATAAATAAAATAATGCAGGATTGCACTCTATTAAGAACAAGATTAAAAATGAAAAAAATGGGTTAAAATGAGCTACAGAGCATTAGGTATGTGCAGTGTGGGGGCAACTGCATACAGTTGTAGAGAATGTTCTGTAGAAGGGTTCTTTTGTAATGACGGTGAGGAGGAACAAGACATTTTCTCAGAAACTTGTTTTTGATGACTTTGGGATTGAGCGATAATATCTGAAGAATTAAGAGAACCAGGTAGAGTGGAGGTTTCCAACCCACAGGCTGCGTGTGACCCTCTAAATCATTGTGCTGTTTATCCCTTGCTTGCCCACGCAGCAGGTTTCTGATCTCAACCACGTACTGCAGGTGTTCCTTTAGGCAAATCCCTTGAAGAAAATGGCCCTTTGTTCTTCTTGGATGGCCCTTCTTCATAATCTGCAGACAGAGCATTGGTCAAATTACTTTCAATAATTAGCAGTCACAATCATTTCAGCAGGAGCTTTTGCTAATAGAAGTCATCTGTTCCAAACAAGGTTTCCTTCTGTTAATTGTATTTTCTAATAAAGATGGCAGCCTGTAGCTCTGCCTTTGGAAAAGCCTGCCATCCTAAATCAAATATGCGTGATTTGCCTGTAGAAGCAGGATTTGTTCCAGAAAACCTCAGATGCCTCAGATAATTTGCTATTTGTACTGTCCTTGACTTTCTTCATTGGCTTTAGAAGAGAACTACCAATGCATGACTTGAAAAACTGTTATGGTACATGAAGACCTAATTAAGTTAGCTACATATTTTGGCTACAATTTTCATTAGAAGTGCCAGCTGCACTTATACAGGATTCTGGAGCATGGGCTGCACACTGGTTCACCCAGGCCATTCATTTCTGCTTGGCTGCTTTTAATACAAGTACACTAGCTGAATAAATATCCTTAGTTTGAATAATACCCTAAACAAATCATTTCTGCTTTGTGTAACCTAAGGATAGGCAGTAGGGTGTTCTCCAAATGTTTTGGGCTATGACTTCTGTAGTTCTTCCCAATATACTGTTCTGGGCTACTGTGAATAGGACCAGTGCATCTGATTGAGTCTGTGTTGCCCATTACTCACTTATTCATGGTGGTGGGAGGCACAAAAGGGCTACGTTCAAGAGCATGCAGCTCATTCACAATCAGTTAGGATGCCCAGAATCTTGGCTTACTCTTCTGTGCAAATAATGCCACTGATGAAACATAGTGTTCAGTAATACTTTCCCTTTAATAACTAATAAGTGTATTGGATTACATTTCCCATTATCCCCCAACAGCAAGGCATTGGTCAACACAGGGAGTTACAGGAAGCCTCATGCTTAGATTTTTTTTTTCTTCATGCTCTGTTCCTAAGTTTGCTAGTGCAGAGTATTGACTTGTATCAGTGTTTCTCTCAAAAATTGCCAAAAAATACAAGTGGGACTTGCAAATATCCCTTGTTTACCAAAGGAGAGGTTAAGTGTTAACAACTGTCCCCATCCAAGATAGCATAAGCGATCAAGAGTTAACATACAGCACTCTGAGTGTCCACTCTTTATTTTTTTGATAATTAGCCCCCCCTCCTTGAGATAACTGCAGTGACCTTGTTAATTGGCACCCCTTTGTACAACGAAAGGGAGTTGAATACAATTATGTAGTTTCTTAGCTGGCCTATGCAGATATAACACTTTTTGCTTTCCTTGCCTGGGGATATTGGCAAATACTGTGTAAACTAAATTAAATGTTTAATTTAATTGTTGATTAAATGTTGGTTGCAAATCAAGATGGGAAACCAGGGTTAGAGCCTATTTCATACCATGGTCTTCATTAGCCATAGTTAAGTATAACGTACTTTCTATATCTTACCAAGCTTTTTGTTTCCAAACTGACAACAGGTATTGTTGGTGTCTGTTTTTGTATATCTTTGTCAGCAGGATATAACTTGACAAGGTGAATATGTTACCTGGAATCACACATCATCCTACACTATAAAATGATGGATTTTGTTATGCCTTAGCTTTATGTGCAGGCTGAAGGTTGTCCATCCTATAACTTGTGTATGCATCTACCTCTAGTTTTATACCATTTTTGAACCTTCCCCAAAACAACCAACTGTGGTTAAATATTAGACTAATATCATGATATTAGGTAAGATGTTTCTGGAGTTGGGGGGGGCGGGGAAATAGATATGTGACAAATTAGCCAAATAAGATACTTGACTAGGATTCTTCTGTTGTCCAGTCTCCACCAGGAAAAGTAAAAGACGCTGTGAAGAAGGCTATTGATGTAGGCTATCGCCATGTAGACTGTGCCTACGTGTACGAAAATGAAGAAGAAGTCGGCAATGGTATTCAAGACAGGATCCAGGCTGGGGTTGTAAAGCGTGAGGATCTTTTTATTGTCAGCAAGGTATATATGTTTACATCTTAGGAAAAAACAAATTTGGAGTGTTTTTAAATGGCCTGCAGCAATGTTTGTAAGCTGCCTGGAGTTTAGGAAGATTCAGCGGCATACAAATAAATAAATAACTGTTGTAGTCATTCTAAATCTTTTTCTTATGTTGGATCGTGCTTTTTATTTGTTTGTTTGTTTATAACAAACAAACAAACAAATTTATTATTAAATTTGTGTGCCACCCATCTCCCCCAACATGTGATTATTAGTTCCAGAGATGAAGTCACATAGAGAATACAGTATTTGAAATAGGACGTCCACAGTTACAAATGGTTGCATAATCCACACTAAAAGCCCATGTGTTTCAGAAAGCAGCCTTGCTTTAAAAATGTTAACCCTGCCTGTTGTATTAAGCTCAGAAAGAAAAGAATTGGTGCAGGCTATTCTATACACGTAAGATATGTTCCGTACACTCAGTTAATAATCTCCTTGCTGTCTTTTGTGCTGGCCATAGTTTTTGAACTACTTTCAAGGCTAGCTGTTTGTAATGTGGACTATGGTCAGCAACTGCAGCCAGGCATCTCCAGCATCTTGTTGGGATTGACCTTAAATTTAGTAGCCCTCATCTAATCTATTCCTGATTCAAAGAATGGACTGGTAATTTAAGAAGTTGGTGTTTTTCTTTTCTTGGAAGTTGGTGTCCACCCTCCAGATTTTTCATGTTTCCTATATAAGATGTAGGCTGATTTTTAAATATTTCCTATAATCCAGGGGAGTTGTTTGGACACATTGACAGCCATATGCATAGTTTGGGGGACACAGGGAATAACCTCTCCACGTGGTGTTTTTCTTGCAGCTTTGGTGCACCTTCCATGAGAAGGCTTTGGTCAAGGGCGCCTGTCAGGCAACTCTAAAAGCCTTGAAATTGAACTACCTTGACCTCTACCTTATTCACTGGCCTCTAGGATGCAAGGTACTCCAAATTGCTTTCCTTTCTTTTGGTGGGAAAAAAACTGACACACAATTACTGTAGTCTTCCCAATCATCTCCATATGTTGGGACTACAGCTCTCAAATTTCTGTAGTTCTTCAGCTTTTCTCACCATCAATCAACTGGGAACAGGTGGCCCACAACAGGATCATTGAAGTTCCATCCCACACTCTCCCCACTGCTACCTGATTGGCCCAAGAGAGCTGAAGAGGGAGCATAAGGTGGAAATCCAACTCTTCAGTCTAAGCATCTCCATTCCCACGCATTCAGATGGCTGGATGTGAGGAAGGCTCAGTATGTAAAAGAGTGTAGTAAGAAAAGGCATGGGGGAGGGGAGGAAATCTAGCTCCACCCACCTTTCATGCAGCCCCATCAAACACTGTTTATGGGGTGGATTTTTCTGTTGTTCAAGCAAATCTGCACTTGAACAAGTTTCTTGTTCCTGTGATTTAATACTGGCCATAAGTTTGGCATTCAGTGTTTAGAATACCAAGCTTATAAGAATCCTATCAAAGATACTTTTAATGGAGATTAGAGCAGATTAACCTTGCAGTCCATGGGTGATTACAGTGGAAGGATGGTAGTATAAACCTGGGGCTACCGAGGTAATGCCTGTGGAACACCTAAATGGCATTACACAACCACAAACCATTTTTTAATTATTAGAAAAATAAAAATGGCTAACATCTCTTGTAAGATCTTCAGAGTGGAATGTCCAAAAGCTACTAAGGTGTGGTGCTGTTAACCATTATATATTTTTATTATGGGATGCCAGTGGCATCTGAAGAGGCTGCACCATGGATTCCACCTTCTAAAATCCTTTGCTGATGTCTGCTCTAGATTTTTTATATCAATTCCATTTTCTAAATTAAGTGACTGGCTGACTAGTTTCTTATGAATATAAGAAAGTGCTGTTTTTTAGCTTGAGAAAGGAATGTACAACAATGTATTCTTACTTGGGGAACATAGATTAAGAGTATTGTATCTGTTTTGCAATCAGTACATTCTGTGTTTAGTCTCCAGTGTCTCCAGATAAGGCAATGAAAAATCATTGCCAGGAATTTAGAGAATCATTACTTTTACTGAGCTGGATAGACCACTGCTTTGATTCTCTTTATGGCATCTTCCCAAATTCAGAACCAAGCACATCCCATTACATGTAGTCCTCATTTACCGAATGCCTCATTTAGCAACCATTTGAAGTTACGATGGTGTTAAAAAAAATAGCTTTGCAACTAATCCTTGCATTTGCAGCTATCACAGCATCCCACAGTCACATGATCACCGTTCGAGCAGTTCACAACTGGCACACATTTATGACCATTGCAGTGTCATGTGATCACCATGTGCGTGCTTCACAACCAGCTTCTGACAAGCAGAGTTAATGGAGAACACAGAAGTAAAATCACAAGTCGCAGCCATGTGATGTCTTGCTTAACAACCAAATGGGAAGTGAGGTCATAAGCCCATTGTGGTCACGTGATTTTCCACTTAGCAACTGTGTCACTTAACAACGGAATTACCAGTCCCAATTGTGGTCACTAAGCGAGGACTATCTGTACAACTGAGTTGAGCAGTTTGTGGACAACCTATAGTCCCTTGATACCCTGAGATGATGCCCCTAAAAATTGCAAAAAAATCTTTCAGACTTTTCCTCAAAAGGTTGAAATAGGATCAGGAAACCTCTGGGGGATAGGGCATTTCTAGACCTCCCAAAGGACCCTAAACGTAGCCACTTAATTGCTGAGATTCAGTGGTGCAATTTCAGGCTATTTTTTGGAAGGGTGAAGGATTTTTGATGGTGCAAATGGGAGCAATTTGTCTCCCATGCCCTGTTCTGACCTTCAAAAAAATGAAATAATGCTTGCTTTGATGTCACCACCCTTTTGCTGATGGTGTGCATGGTCCTTCAGCTGATCAGGGACACAACCCTGTCAGGTCCGCTTCTGCATACTGAATAACACCATTAGGGAAGATTTATTGCTTGGTTCTGCCTAAGACAATGTTATCTATTCAGAAGAAAACTGACTTGGAATGTATTGTCGAAGGCTTTAAGGAAACAAAACTTCCAGAACACGGCCACACAGCCCAGAAGACCCACACCAACCATCTGACTTGGAATCTTGCTTTGTATTGACAGGCAGGAGATGATCTGTTTCCTATGAATGAAAAAGGCATGATGATAGCCGGTAACACAGATATTTTAGACACATGGGAGGTATGTTCAGTTACAATTAAAGGGATTTCTTCCCTGTATGAAGTGTTTTTTATGTGGATTTTATATGCCTTGCACTTTTACATTGCAAATGTTTTAAATTTGCATTTGTTGAAATTATGACATAAGTTTTATCTCCTGGAGATTTTTCTATCATTGTAAAATGAGATTATTATATTTTACACTTATGCTATCTTATTTTAATAAGACGTTTGCTTAATTATGGGTCCCTCCTGATCATTTGAGGATATTTACAAAAAGTACAAAATATTTTTGGTTAGAAATATAGACTGAAACCTCCTCCTTTACCTTGGCTATGACAAGCTTTCAAGAAGAGGAGATTAAGGTATTTAATCTCACTGTTCTCCTTCCTATTTAGGGTAAGCAAAAGAACCCAGAGAAAACAAAACAGCTGGTATTTTTATTGTGTATTTATTTACATACTTCACAGGCTTTGCATAATAATTCTTTGTCAAGAGTACATTTGATGTTGCTGTAATCTAATCTTCAATTTATTTGAGTATAAAATGCATCAGGCATATAAATATGCAAAGTAGAAATTGGTAAAGGTGTGTGTTACAACTGGTTTAATCCTTTTTTGAGAGAAAGAAAGCATCTTGAAAAGTTACCTATGTACAATTCAATTTCTATTAGCTGTACACCTTCTATTCTAGGATAGTTTGAAGCATATCCAAATAACAAATAGTACATAATCACTGGAATCTGCTGACCTATTCAGCCTAGTGGGTAATTCCTATTTATACTGTTAACTGCTGGCAGAGTTATAACCTAATCCTCTAACTTCAGCATCAGAAATTGAATTGCTTATCTCTTTCGGCTCTCCCTCTGAAGTTCTCTGGTGGGAGAGGTGGGTTCATGTATTGTACTAAGACATAATGTGCTTTAGTTTCAATGTACGTTGTATGAACTCAGCCAATTGGGACTTATTCAACAAATCATAGCATATAGCAATGTATGAACCCAGTCATTCTAAGAGAGGGCCTTGGAAAATATCAGCTGTCTTCCAGGGCATAATGTAATACTGTATTCAGATGATGATGATGATAATGATGATGATATAAAAATAATGAAAATGATCAACTGCAGCATCTCCCTTTCCCAGTCTGATGTGCTCAGAGGTTTGCATGTTCTTTTTTTCCCAATAATTTTATAAACAGAACAATAAAAGAATACAAGCGAAAAAGAAGAAGAAAAAAGAGTGTAAGAAAACCAAACAAAACAAGAAAAAACCCTCCCCTCCTAAAAAAGGTTTGCATGATCTGAAGTGGTAGAATATGTGCAGCTTCTTTATCTCATATTTGGCCTTTGGTATATTCTTAGGCAATGGAGGAACTCGTAGATGCCGGATTGGTGAAGGCCGTTGGTGTTTCCAACTTCAATCATGAACAGATTGAGAGAATCTTGAAGAAGCCCAAGTTGAAATACAAACCTGCAAATAACCAGGTAAATTCTCAGGAAGTGCTTTGGGGATTATGAAGAATGAATTATTTTACAGCAGAGAGCCAAGGATAAAACAGTCTTTATTGGCTAGATGCCAAGGATTACAGGAAATTTCCGAATGTACAATGGTGCTCTCCTCCCTTAATCTATCATTCTGACAGCTGATCTCAGCATTTTAAAGTGCTTTATCATTCTGATTTGAATTTCAGAGCAGGCTTGTTCAGTTAACTATCATATATACTAGTAGCAGGGTTTGTTTGTTTTGTTTTTGGTTACAATTGAGCTTGTAAAAAATTGAATCTGCCCATTGGTATGGAATTAGAAAAATACAGTATCTTACAGGCACTGGAATTGGAAAAATGCAGTATTTTACAGTAACCTAGGAAACCTCTTTGCAGCTTGATAGCCCAGAGTCTTTGGAAAAAGAAAATCTCTGGAGATGCTCAAGATGCTTGTGGCAGTCTGCTTTAAAATAGCTGCAACCAATTTAAGATATCTTCTAACTGACTCTGAGCAAAGTTTCAATATCTCATTTTCACCATGTAGTAACTGCTACAGCTCTTGAAGATGTTGATTTCCCAGTCACAGTAATGTCAGCAAAAGGCTGAAGAAAGTGACTCAGATCAAAAGGTTTTATGCTAAATGAACAAAACCAGGGTGAAGGATTGAGGATTGGCAGTGATGTAAAAATTGGTATGGAAGCTCAGTGATGGAGAAAAATCCAGAATTTGTGATAATCATTTTCAGGTAATTCTGTTCTGTAGGTTCAGGGAAGAGAAAGTATTAGCTAAACTTTTGGAAAATCATGGAAAGAAGTCAATGGAAAGAAATTTGAGGGGCATGGAATCCATCACATCTTGTAATCTGAGTATCTCAGATTATTTAAATGCATGCATTGTGTGTGAGACCTAGGACACTATTGTCCTGAATCTCTTGAGAAGATATAGTCAGTTATCCCCATTTATAGTAAAAACTTGATAACAAATAACAGTTCAAGTAAGGCATTCTTGAACCCACTTCTGTTTGTCTAGTCAGATTTGGGATAAGTGAGGAATAGCTTCCTCATGCAAGAGGATAGCTGGGTTGAAGGCAGATGTAGCATTCTAGGGAAGTCATGACAAGTTGGTCAACTATGCAGTTGAAGACCTACCTACAAGACAGTCGGGTGCAGGATCAGCTCTCAAGCCTTATTCCACAGCATCCAGCATTGGAATGAGTATATTTATATGACCAAAAATAAACACTTTTTCAGTATAGCTGTAAAAATACTTTGGGATTTCAGGCACGGTGCTTTTTCATGGGCTGGCCAATAAGCAGTATCTCAAATTATATTTTCCCCAGTACAAAGGGATGAGGCTGAAACAATTTAGAATAGTTTTTTTCAGACCCTACCCTGGCAGGGAAGAATTGAACACTTGTAATGAATATGGTGGGGGTTCAATCAAAATTCAGTTACAGTGACAATGAGTGCATTGTTGGGAGACTTGAAGAACAGGTCAGCGATAGATCATCATGGAGAAAATCTATCTACGTGGTTGCTAGGAGTCGAAAACAACTTGATGGCATATAATCATCTATTGAAATATCAATCTAATTCATAAATATTGCAATCACAAATTCAAATTGATTAGAAAATGTAATAGTTGCCTTCTTGCACTTCTACAGTATATATTCTGAAAGGAGGTATTGTATGACAGACAAGGATGCTATAGAGTAAAATTACACTCTAAATATAGTTTGCATGTTCTGTCAGATTCTGCTTGTGCACCGTCTTGTTCATTCATTCAGAGTCTTTTTTTTTTCCAAACAAATTTTGAATTTCCAGACATTTCTGAAACAAGGTATCTTGCAAGGCCCATTCAGTCAGCACCTCCTGATTAATAATCAAAATTCATACAAAGAATTTTTGGGAAACTGCCATGAAGTCTCTTTAATAAGCATTGCAGCCAGAAATAGAAATAAACTCCCAACAGCTCTGTAACTCTATACAAGTTGAGCATCCTTGTACACTTGCAAGCAAGAGGAGAACTCAACACGTTAAGACTACAAGAACAATTACTTTTTTCAGAGTTTTGGCAAAAGTATGAGAGACATTTATTTTTATCAGTTAAGTTATGTATTATTTTGACTTCTATATTATGATTTCTAAAATTATTTTTCCCCCATGACACAAAAATCCTCTCCATAGTTGCCATTAATACAATTATGGAATTTGTCTTGGGAAGAGGATGACCTCATTTAGCATCAGGTTAACCTCTCATTCTATCGTGATTTATTGTATGAACAAGACATGGTTGATTTTACACAACCTGCTGAGCTGTAAACTAAACAAATCATGGTTTAACATGGTAGAATAGCCAGGCCAACAAAAAAAGTTGGGCGAGGTTTCAAGAGAAAGTATTGGGCTACCTGTTAATTTTTCTTAAGCAGCAATCAATAAGTACAGCGTTAAAATCCTGCTAGCCATTAAGTAAGGGCTGCAGTATGACACAGTTATATGGGGAACGATTGTGATTGAAATCAAACATGGTGGCACTGTGGAAATCTATCACGTTGATTTCTGAGGAAAAGAACTGTTTGAAACTGGACGTAGTTTTTCTCTCCCACAGTGACAAGCTTGCTGTGTCCACAGCTGAACTTGGCCCAAATGCAGATCATGTTTTTAAAAAATATTGGGAATTATTTTGAATTTCAACCTGTCTTGGGGTAATAAATATAGACTGAAATCCATTTCTGTATATGTTGCAGGTTGAATGCCACCCATATCTTACTCAGGAAAAGCTGATTGATTACTGTCACTCCAAAGGGATCTCCATCACAGCCTATAGTCCCCTTGGCTCTCCTGATAGGCCCTGGTGAGAACATTTGGTCTCTTACTCCATGCTGAGTAAAATGTACTGGAGCTCAGAGGTCTTGACATCTGATTTGCTAATCTTTAACCGCACATTGGAATGCATGAATGGGAAATGGAAATGGCTCAAGAATTAATGCATACCCTGAAATTATAAAGGAAGATCGAGAAATGTGGGTCTCAGGGTATTTCTGGACCAAGGCCAAGCGTCCCCAGCCATCATAACCTGCAGTAAGAAATGATGGGCGTGCAGTTCGACAGATGGAAGACAATGGATTCTCCCCACCTCACCCACTTCTTGAAACCTGAGTATTAGGAGACATTGTATTGTCGAAGGCTTTCAAATCCCCCCCTTCCCCCCCCCCTCAGATCTCTATAAATACCCACAAAAGGGTCACATCACCCTGG